GGTGAAACATCACAGCATCTTACACGACCTGATGCATCACAAGAGCACAAGGCAGAGGCAGAAGCACAGGCACAGCCAGCATCTCAGCAAGCAGGTGATGCAGCCCAGCAGCACGCCATACTGCAGGAAGCACAGCCAGCCCAAGTCAGTGCAACACCACAGACACCACCAAAGCAGCAAGATCAGCATGGTGAAACATCACAACATCTTACACGACCTGATGCATCACAAGAGCACAAGGCAGAGCCAGAAGCACAGGCACAGCCAGCATCTCAGCAAGCAGGTGATGCAGCCCAGCAGCACGCCATACTGCAGGAAGCACAGCCAGCCCAAGTCAGTGCAACACCACAGACATCACCAAAGCAGCAAGATCAGCATGGTGAAACATCACAGCAACTTACACGACCTGATGAATCACAAGAGCACAAGGCAGAGCCAGAAGCACAGGCACAGCCAGCATCTCAGCAAGCAGGTGATGCAGCTCAGCACGCCATACTGCAGGAAGCACAGCCAGCACAAGTCAGTGCAACACCGACACCACCAGAACAACAAGATCAGCATGGTGAAACATCACAGCAACTTACACGACCTGATGCATCACAAGAGCACAAGGCAGAGCCAGAAGCACAGACACAGCCAGCATCTCAGCAAGCAGGTGATTCAGCTCAGCAGCACGCCATACTGCAGGAAGCACAGCCAGCCCAAGTCAGTGCAACACCACAGACACCACCAAAGCAGCAAGATCAGCATGGTGAAACATCACAACATCTTACACGACCTGATGCATCACAAGAGCACAAGGCAGAGCCAGAAGCACAGGCACAGCCAGCATCTCAGCAAGCAGGTGATGCAGCTCAGCACGCCATACTGCAGGAAGCACAGCCAGCCCAAGTCAGTGCAACACCGACACCACCAGAACAACAAGATCAGCATGGTGAAACATCACAGCAACTTACACGACCTGATGCATCACAAGAGCACAAGGCAGAGCCAGAAGCACAGACACAGCCAGCATCTCAGCAAGCAGGTGATTCAGCTCAGCACGACACAGTGAAGGAAGCACAGCCAGCACAAGTCAGTGCAACACCGACACCATCAGAACAACAAGATCAGCATGGTGAAACATCACAGCATCTTACACAACCTGATGCATCACAAGAGCACAAGGCAGAGCCAGAAGCACAGGCACAGCCAGCATCTCAGCAAGCAGGTGATGCAGCCCAGCAGCACGCCATACTGCAGGAAGCACAGCCAGCACAAGTCAGTGCAACACCACAGACACCACCAAAGCAGCAAGATCAGCATGGTGAAACATCAAGAGATACATGTCAAGCAAACATCAACAAGCTGTTTGACCCAAATCGGTACAAACAGAAGCAGACATCAACAAACTCACCAGACGAGCCGAGCAGCAAAAACAACACAATGCAGGAGCGACATCAGCGTGGTGAGATAACAAGAGATACATGCCAAGCAAACATCAACAAGCTGTTTGACCCAAATCGGTACAAACAGAAGCAGACATCAACAAATTCACCAGACGAGCCGAGCAGCAAAAACAACACACTGCAGGAGCGACATCAGCGTGGTGAGATAACAAGAGATACATGCCAAGCAAACATCAACAAGCTGTTTGACACAAATGTGTACAAACGGAAGCAGACATCAACAAACTCACCAGACGAGCCGAGCAACAAAAAAGCACAACAGGTGCATTGTGGGCAAGATGATGACATGCTTCCTAGGCAACCGGATGAACTCATGATGTTTGTTCGTTTGAACGAGTTTCACATGGAGAAGCTTCTCCGTGAACCTTTGTCAGAACCCAAAAGCATCCTGTTGACGTGGAAAGTCAAAAATGGTGTTCGAACAATTTTTCTGGTTGAAACTGGCTCGGGTGGAAAGATTTCAGCCCGAGTAACCATAGATGAAGTGACACCAATTCGTGATTTTGCAACTCTACGTCTTCACCCCGAGTTTGTTTCAAGCCACTCTACTGTGAAGAAGGCTTTGCGTGAACGCATCACTCAAGTGAAACGACCGGTGTACGCGTGGACATTGAAAGACGTGATCTTGATTAACAACCTTCAGATTCCAAGGAGTTACCGTTCAAAGACTTTCACTATGACCAGAGCTGATATCTGTTCCTTGAAGGATATTCCAATACCTGAGATGAGACTGAAGAGCACTTGTAAGTATTTCATGCAGAAGTTAGTTCCTTATGAGTATGAAAAGCTACGCAAGACTGCACTTCAACTAGACAATGTGGTCATCAGAATGGGGTCTACATGTTCAGGGACTGATGTAGCTTGGAGCGTTGTACGCGAAACATTTGCTGCAATCAACGAAGAGTTCTCCGTACCTAGTTTGCACATAAGGAAAAATGTTCGTATGAATCGATATCGTTTTTCTTACCAAAAAGAATGAAAAGCTTGCACTTAGAATATTCCAGTGGGTCAAGGCTGTTCCTTCTTGGATTTAGTCTAAGGTCAATATTCAACCACAACACGTGATGTCCGTGGAGATCTCACCATGGAAGCGACAGTTTATCATGGATGCGCACACTCCTCCTGGTGAAAGTTGCAGTTTTCATGTTTTCGCTGACGTCAAAGACTTTGACAATGACAATGGTATGGCATTTTGCTTCTCTTGCAACACTGAGCATAACATACATATGAGTCTGGATATGCTTTGGACCGGTCCCAGCTGCAAAAGTCTATCGAAGGAGAACACCGACAGAAGCAGCTATGCTGCATGTTCCTTCAATTTGCATTATGTATATATATATAGATTTATGTGTTTTTCTTAGCACATACACACATACATATATACATATATAATATATATATATATGTATGTATGTATGTGTGTGTGCGTGTCAAAAAAGTTTCTCTTCATACCAAAGACTATATACTTAGCCACAATATCAAGAATATATAGATATGTTTTTAGATAGTGATGGTTTTCACTGTTTTGGTCTTGCTCTGCTCTCAGGTTACATTACCGGCGAAGGTACTTCCGGAAGCACTTACCAGCAAGGGGCATTGTCAGCAACTGAACGATGTTGTCCAGCGATCGTTTTCTTTGAAAACGTGATCGGGGTAGCCGAATCCAGCACAGACAGAGAGGGTGTTAAGCACCCTCCTATGACTCAGGCAAGGTTGATAAAACAATATATATATACTTGTTATTTTCAAAATAGTTGAGTTAATCCAAGGAATATTCTAACTGCAAGGAATATATATATATATGAATGTACTTACATGTAAAAAAACAAAATATTTGTTAGGACTGTTCGGGAAAACGAAAAGATAAGCAAAATAACATAGACACCTAGCTCCAGGTGATGCAAAATGACTTCAAGAAGCTCGGCTACGTTATGGAGCACGACATCATTGATGCTCAATCTTACCTTCTGAGGCAGAGGAGGAACAGGGTATGGGCTACGATGGATCTAAATTCTGGTCAATGTGCTGAAACCTATGCTGAGAACATGAAGGCAACAATGAGGAACCTGGCTAGTGATGTTCATTTCCCCTTCAGCTTGTGTTTTGACGAGTCGCTTCCACATGAAATTCCTTCAGAAAGAATACAAGCAAAATTGGAAGAAGCTATCCAGATGGATCAATTAGATCAGTGTTCGGGGAACATGTTCGTCGACAAAGGAACATCTAGTGGAAGAAAAGCAGAAGCAGCTTCAGGTGTTCTGACGTGCATACGTCCTACACATGGGATTTACAGTCAGAAGTTGAAGAGATTTGTGATTCCATCTGAGATGTTTCAAGCCCAGGGCATGTGGAGAGACGATTTTGCAAATGAAGATGCCATTGACAAACTTTGGGCAAACTCAAGGTATACTCAGGATTTGGCAGGCAAGGCTGACAAAACAAAAGTGGTTGTTACTTTCCAAAGCTGGATGAACCAATGAATATTCTAACTGCAAGGTTTTCTACTTCCTTTTAATGAAACACTAAAGATATAACATATGTTTCGAGCTGGATTGAAATGCATGATACGAACAGATAAATAATGCTTATAAATGATAAAAACCATGTGTATGTATATATATTTCCGCATACTTGTCAGGCAACTCTTTCGCAGCAACTTGCGCACAAGCAAAACTTATCGCATCACTGGTCAATTCTTCTTGCTGGAAGAACTTGAGCAAACAGAACAAGGTAGATTCACAGCTTTGCCGATCAGCTTCCAGCTGCAGCGTGATGGACGTTCAATCAATTTCGCATTCTCTATCGTGCACTTTTGATGACACACCTGAAAAGTCTACGTCTGAAAAGACAACACCTGAAAAGTCATTATGTACCTTTGAAACACCATCAAGATTTGAATCATCCAATGAGATCGAACCTTCGGACATACCTTTGGAGGATGACATTCACATGGACCAAAACCAAGAGGTTGCAAGGGATATTGATGATTCACCGGAAAGACCTATCAAGAGACGTCGGCTAAGGGGGAAAACAAATTGCAGTACAACTGGCTACCCGTTGGTATTTCCAGCTCTTGAATCCAATGCATCATCAGGTTCTCAACCCAAGAAGAATGTAGTTCAAGACCTTCAAGATTCAGCGAATCAGCAAGTGAGGGAGAAACATGCCAAAAGGAAAAGAGGAAGACCAGAGGGTAACAAGGATCCCAGGTGTGAAGCCGGGTTACGTCGTGAACGAGAAGGGAAATCATCGACTGTGTCTATTTGGACCAAAATGAAGCTGATCAAGGATTTGTGTTTGCGCTTCAGCAACATTTTGGGTTTACAAGCAGGGTACAGGGGAATATTCTAAGTGCAAGAATATGGCCTCAATTCAAATAAAAAGGGTTTCAGCATGTTGTATTTTCAAACGAAAGAAAATATTGTATAAAACAACATATAAAATATATTTTCTTGTTGCTTGTAAACTGGTGGCCCAATGTGTTTCACTTTCACACCATCTAAGGAGTTCGAAGAGCTTAAAGCAAGCGGAGTCAAGAATCCAGAGGCCTACATGCTGCGCCATCGGCGACACAATGGACAGTACCAAGGTTGCTTTAGCAAATCGCACTGGGGAAAGCGACGTGTTTCCGACAAGTGGGATGTGTTGGTGCAACAAGCTCCAAACCTTTCCAAACAAGTGTCTGAAGTTCCCAATGTGCTCCGGCCTGTCCTGGGGATAAAGGCACATCAACTAAAATTGTTGTTGTCGTTGTTGTTGTTGTTGTTGCTGTTTTTTTTGAACCTGCAAGTATATATATAGGTCATGTTGCTGCTGCCAAATGGTTTCCTATATGTAAACAGCACTTGCATGAGAAAGAGTGGTATGTTGTAACCAGTTTCTAAAACAATAGTTACTGCAGAAATTTAGTTTTATCTGGTGCATCACTTTCTGAAGGTCTTGAAGCATACCAACAGCAAATTCAAGAAGAAGCCAGGGACCCCGTTGCACAATCTTCCGGAGCCTTTGACATTGGCAGCAGAATCGTTTCTTCTAGATCGCATGGCTCTAGGTGAAGAGATTGGGATTGATTTCGTAGAGAGCTTAGTGAGGGAGTTCGTGACTGTATGGAATGAGAAGATTGAGGAGTTCAAAAGTCAAGTTCTCGAAATATCTGGCCCCATGGTACTTGCAGAAGAAGATCAACAGATTCATGATGGCATGGAACATGCTGAAATTGGTCGGGTTCAGGGTCAGATGATGCACAGCATGGAGTCCCTAGTGGCAGCTCTAGTACCTATCGACGCGAGCTTTCACAAGACTTCTTTGGAGCATCTTGACATGATGATTCGTGTTTATGGTTCAGTATGTAGATTATGAAACAGCTTATATAATGGTTTTTGATTTTTGTTCGACATAAAACTTAGGTATGTGGATGATCCTTTCTATTACAAAGACTTAGATACCATATATATATATACATACGTATTATGGTTTTCATGCAAATGCCAGATATGAGTGTATGTAGGGGGAATATGTTACCTATCACCGAGGTTTTGCGCAAGACGATTGTGTACAAAACTGGGGATCAAAGCGGCGGCAGTGACGAAACCTTCAAAACATCTTCCCTATGAACACAGTGAGATGGAGAAGGTCAGATTTTGGGTTCGACATTGTGCAGACACACACAACATACACCCAAGACTCATATGCAACATGGACCAAGTGTGGAGCACCCACTACGAGTGTCCCAAACGCACATTGTACAAGCCACAGCCGAAACGAGGGATCTGTCCTACTCCTTACCAGAAACCAAGTGTAGGAAAAATTGTTGATGATATCAAAAAAGCTCTTGGTCTAGCACCACCGAACAATGAAGCAGCCGTTGTTCAATACATTCCAAAACATCCGGTTCTGAATGCAGAAGGAAATCTGAACCCAGTAGACTATCATCGACTAGCACGAACAACTACCACCATTAGTTGGTGTGACGGAACATTGTCGACTGCCTATGTGACTGCCACCAACAAGTCTATTCCTCAGAATGTGGTGAAAGAGATGAACGAGGAGTTGAAAGGAGTGGGAAACTTAGTTTTTGTAGAAATCCACCGGCCCTGTTGTTGACAGGGAGCAGGGAGAGTGTGCAAATATATATATATATCTAGATGAATGAGAAAATCAATACGTTCACGTAATAATAAATAAATCTAAAAGTATGCAACGTTCAAGTTTTTGTTTGCATTTTCAAAAGTGCATTAATTTCTTGCAGATAGAATATTCACATTGCTCATTATGTTTTCACCTAGGTGCTCTTCATCGAAACTCATGACTTTCATACTCATATGTGGCAAGCACCGACGATGATGAAGTTCTTGAACCACATGACTATCCAATTGCGTGTCAAAAGACAAGAATTGGGGCTAGATGCCACTCACCGAGCCCTTCTTATTTGCGACAAAGCATGTGTGCACCATGCAAAACTGTACAAAGCAGCTAGAAGCCGTTGGGAACGTGAACAAAACTGTATCATCATCAACGGAGAAACCGACGACTTGGTTGCAATCCCTGGAGGTTGGGGTGCCACAGGTGGTCCTAATGATGGTTTTCATAACCATTGGCATTCTCTTCGTCGAAGTTGGATGAAGGTGGCAGCAGGAATGGGTGGCGCAGCGGCCTTGAGAAAGAGCTTAGAGGAAATGGACATTTCAATAGACGGAAATCCTCGATTCTCGTACGATTCTCAGTTGTGGTAGGTAGCAGATTTCTTGCAGATAGAATATTCTAACAATAGCCAAGCTGGACTACTTCCATGAAAGATCGAAGTACTTGAAGTGATCAAACATTATATAGGTATATATTGTATGTGAATTGTTTAGTGATATGATACTATATATATACATATATATATACATATATATATGATTATAATTGATTATATATATAATATGTTTGGTTTGTTTTCTTTCGTATGATTACTGTGCATATTCTGTTCTTAGACTATTGGAGAGATTAAATCTGTTCGATTATTGGGTGTGCTGACTGTCGGCACCAGGTTGAGTGTCTCCAGCTCCTTAAGAGCAGATGCATGGGCCTATAAGCAGCTCGGGAAGTTTGGTGGAGGAAAGCTCATCATGCACGCGTGGCTGTCCAGGGGCATGGTGACGCGTGAAGATATGGCTCAGTGGCGTTTCGATGGCAGCATGGATGCTCTGACTGAATGCATGAAATTTGTGCGGGGATCTATGCGTCATCTCTACCGTTTGGAGGGCATTGGTGATGAAGACTACAGCGAAGAAGCCAAGAAGATCACAAAAGCAGAGAATGGAGCTTTGGTGGGAGAAACCGCTGCATACTGGGCAATCATTGACGAAGATGTTGATGGCAACCAGCATGTCTTGCTTCCAACATGGTGGTCAGTGCCAATCACTAGGAGCATTAGCATCTGGCAGAAGGAGAGCGATGATTGGCAGCAGAAACTCACAAAACGACGCAATGATGGAAAACATGATTTTGCACCAAAGGCGAAGGAAGCCTATGAAAAGTGGAAGGAGTGCCACACTCGTCGCATAGTCCTGAACAAGAAAAGACAATCTCAGGTTATGAATCTTGCAGTCAAGAACTTGCAGGAAGTGAAATCTTCGTGCTTGCTGCTGGAAATTTCTATGAGTGATGATCCAAACGAGCTACGCATCAGGTCAGGAGGTGGCAAGTACTTCAAGCTAGTGCTTCTCGAAGGGGTGCAACAACTGGCAACTTCTGAAATTCCAGAACAATTGGATCTTCATCCAGGAGCATGGTTGCTATTTGTTTTATCTTTTTTTTGCAAATATATAGGTTATGATAAATCAATAGTTCAATATATGAATATTCTAACTGCAATATTTTTACATTTTCCAAGAAAAGACTTGAAACAGAACTGTTTATATAGTAGACGTTTTTTCTCAGGAGCCGCACTACACGATCTTGCTGCCCATCATCATGCTGAGCCAGTGATGGATGGTGATGAAGCTGATGATGATGATGCAATGAACAATCCATACGAGGACCCAGATTCGCTTGAGGGTGAGAATGGTGAGATGGACATTGATGGGTTTATCTTTATGGATTCCGATTCTGATGATGATGATGCACCAAACCAGGGACATGATCAGAAAATCCGAGCGAAAGCAGCTAGCTCAAGGCCTGAGTTTGTTGAGTTACAAGCTCTCAATCTTACCAACAGGCCGGAAGGTTGCACTATCGGTGTTCATGAAGCCAACAAAGTATGGCGCACTTCATGTCCTGGATCAAAACACTTTGGTCGAACATGGGGTGAGGGAAGTGGGCGAAGCCCGAAACAAGCTCTCATCCGTGTTTTGATTCTGATGCTCACAGAGTACTGCGAAACCAACAATTCGGACCGCTTAGCAAAGAAACAATTGAAAAGATTGGAAGAGCTATGGTCATCAAATCCGGGCAAGCCATAGAACAAACGTAATTTTCAAAAGTATTAACCTGCTAGCAGTTAGAATATTATCTAAAATATGAATGTATGTATGTATCTATGTATGTTCAAAGAATTATTATATATTCAGAATCTATGTAGGTTCCTAGATAGAAACTTAAGCTCGGACTATTATTGTTCGATGGCTTGCAGTAGAAAATTCGGTTGAAAGCAGCCAGCTCAAGGCCTGAGTTTGTTGAGTTGCAAGCTCTCAATCTTACCAACAGGCCGGAAGGTTGCAGTGTTCATGAAGCCAACACAGTATGGCGCACTTCCTGTTCCGGATCAAAACGCATTGGTCGAACATAGGGTGAGGGAATTGGGCGAAGCCCCAAGCAAGCTCTCATCCGTGTTTTGGTTCTGATGCCCAAAGAGTATTGCGAAGCCAACAATTCGGACCGTTTAGCAAAGAAACAATTGAACCCTATGGATCCAAACACTGTTCAAGAAGGTACTTAACCCTCCAAATCATACCCCAAACACTTCCTAAGAAGGTACTTGGATCCATATGGGAAGAGATTGGAAGAGCTATGGTCCTCAATCCTGGGCAAGCCATAGAACAAATGCAATATTTAGAATTATTAACCTGCTAGCAGTTAGAATATTCCAAAAAAATACGTCTGCAGTTAGAATATTCCAAAATGCAAAACAGTTCGAGTTAGAATATTCGGAAACATTAGCAGTTAGAATATTCCAAAATCACATGAATTCATTCGACGCCCACAAACACTTTTGTCCCCTTTGCTGCTGTGCTTCGATGTCCATGCACTGTACTGTCGAATGCCAATGTTGTATTTTCCTTTCTATATAAATTCTATTAAATTCTAATGTACCGTGCAAAAGTCAATGTATTGACCTAATGTACCTTGGATTCAGCAAGCCATCAAACAATGTCAGTTCGGGTTTAAATTTATATTTATATATGAATTTACATAGATCCTAAATATCTAATAACTCTTTGAACATACGAGATAGATACTGTGGGAATATTCTAACTGCTAGCTGGCAGTTATATGTTATATAATATAATATCATATTATATTATATGATATTATGCTATATTATATTATATTTGTATTGTATGTGTATTGTATGTGTATTGTATTGTATTGTTTTGTATTTGTATATACATATTTTCTATGTTGTAAATTATATATATACATTAATGGACACTTGTTTTGTATATTTCTTTGTGGGTGTGGCCATGTGATAAAGGTATTCATCAATATATCGATCGTGAAATTGACTCCCATGGAAATCATCCAACGAGTTGCCAGCTGTGCAGCGCCAGTCCTGAACAAGGAAGATGCAGCGATGTTTTTAAAGAGTTGAACATGTGACCCACAAACCTAATACTAAACTTACTTAACCTAAACCTTTGCCCATATACATCCATATACCAACAGCTACAACAATATACCAATTGCTTCCGCAAAGAATAGGATTTATACAGTTGAACATGCTACCCACAAACAATCCAACCTAAACCTTTCCCCATATACATCATATACCAATACTTCAGGTATACTTCCGCAAAGAACAGGATTTGTCATGCATGGTCATGTTTTGATAAATGGCCATGCATGGTTGTTGATTTTTAGCTGGAGGCTACTGGCCCGTTGCAGAACTAAGCTCACGACAGGAGGCCAAAGCTTTTCCCAGGCTTCACCCATTTCGGAAAGTCCTGCCACAACGGAACGGCCTGACATGACCTGAATATTGGGTGGTCATTTGAAGGTGCTTTTTTTGACCCAGAAATCTGATTGAACATAAGATATTAAATATATACAGTCATATAGATATTATAGATATTATACATATGATATTATACAGATGATATTATACAAGTCATATGACATAATTATACATATGATATTATATAGATGCATATAATATACTAGTAACAATATCTAATGATGGTCATGCTTAAATTATACATAATTATACTACATCGCACTTCCAGCATCTGCTTGCAAGAACTCTCCTGAATTTGGAAAGCCAATATCAAACTCCTTTTCTCAAGAAAGCAAACTCTAAAAGCGGCATGTCGTGCTGACCGAAGGTTGTTGGAACTAACATGTGACTCTTCAAATTGGAGGCTGTCCTGCTATTTTCCTGCAACCCACAAGTTGGTTGAAGGTTGTTGAGTTGAATTCCCATTTTTGTGGAGTTTACCACCACCAGAAAATGGATGGCCAATAAAGAAAAATGACACATATTGACAAATCTTGTGGATCGATTGGTGCCCTAATGACTTAAGCCATACCCAAAGCCCAGTGCCTCAGCTTGGGTTCTCTCACGGCTAGGGGCAGCTGTTCTCTCACGGCTAGGGGCAGCTGAAGGCCTACGGTGCCGAGCCCAAGATTTTGGAGTTCCCCAAGTCTACCAGTTGAACATTGGAACCACCTCCAAAAGTGGTGAAACGGTCTGGATACCAATCCAAAGCCCATCTATCTGAGCAAAGTAGCTCGGACCAACCCTGATGCTGCATCGAAAAGCTTCAAGCTGCTCACTGACAGCTCTGCAAATTTACAGTGTGCTTTCAGAAGGGGATGAACCCCAATACTAGGGTACCATGGTTTGCCAATGTCCTGCGCTGGAAGAATCTAACGAAGGTAAAAAAGATTGCCTTCACTTCCGTCTTCTGAATATACCATTGCCAGTTTCCACTGATAAATCATTGATCCAAGTGAGATCAAGTGGAGATTTTTGGTGCAGCACCGGAATGGTTTACTATTCTGATGTCCACCACTTTTTCCATTTGACCCCTCTACCTCTAACAAGGGATTGACAGGGAAAGCCCCACTTTCAACAGGTAAATCCAGTCAGTGGGCTGACTGAAGAGAATATTTACAGGAAACCATGGCGTTCCTCCAAATATGATCAACCAATACGTCGAGTTTTCCGGCACGAGTTCTACCAGAATTTGGTAGTGAAATCGAGGAATCCCCATCACATGGTCATCAAAAAGGTGAGGTGATGTATGGTCAAAAACAAATACTATCCCCAATTTATGGTAATTATGTTGTTATTTTATAAGTGTGATTTACAAATGGCCCTGAAATCATCTGATTTCATCATCTGAAAATCGAGGAATCCATCACTGAAATCATGGATTTCCTGCCGGCGCTGCCGGCGTCCGGACCCTTTGGGCGTTGAGTCCACTGTCAGTGCTGTGCGCTCTGGCCTCGGTGTTGATCACAAATTTCTTGAAACCAAATATGGGACATGGGAGAATATATATAATAGGTATACGTATATATATATATATATACATATGTACATATGTGTACTTATTTGTTTTAATCTATTTATCTCTTTGTATTATTCTATATTTATATGTATAATAGGCTATTATTATCTATTATTACGTGCATTCTTAGTATTGATTAAATGACATATGGGATACATTAATGAGAGACAACAGGGGATAAAACAATGGAATTTTTGACAGTTGATCTACCACATCATTGTTCTTATTATAATACTCATTTATTTATTGCTTTTGCTTATTTATGTATTTATTCATTGATTCATTTATTTATTCATTGATTTATCTATTTATTTATTCATTCATGTTTTTTCATTTATTTATAATTTATTCATGTTTATTTGTTGTTTGTTTATTTTGCTATTTATAATATGCTATTGTTACGTGCATTGCTGCTATTGTTGTTGATTAAATGAACTATGGGATAAAATAATGAGGTAATATGGGATAAAATCATGGGATGTTTGACAGTTGATATAGCATATCATTGTTATTGTTCTAATATGATGTTACGTATTGTGGTCAGTGGCGTTATGGTTAAGATTGTCGTTAATAGTGACGTGACTAATTATGATATACCTATGAGTATTTTGACTATCATGATTTTGATGCAATTATGATGATTATGATGATTAATTATGATGATTGTGATGATTATGATTGATTGTGACTAGTATTTTTTTCTTATGATATCCACTATTGTTGGCCAGCCCCCATCATTGTCGTTTATACCCACCACTTGAAACCGGCAGCCGTGGCACTTCAACAAATCACGCTGTGCATGGACGTCGTTCATTCCCATGGTACCCCGCAGCTTTCAGCGAATCGCTCCCTGCGATTTCGCGCGATGGAACTACACAATTTGGCCATCTTTATGGCAACCCCCCAAAAAGTGGGAAAATTTAATCCTACTGGAAAAGTTGTCAATTTTTCTTTTCTATGTTTTTGATTCTTTTTGGGAGTTACCAATATACTATAATCCAATAAATTTTATATTCAAACCTCCAATATGAGCCACCCATGACTGGACCCCCAGGGTTTCGTCTTGGGGTGAATATGAAAGGAGTAAGGGCTTCACTCAGCATCCGGGTCAATACGTCTTAGCAATATATCAACTCTACTGCAAGCAACATATCAAAGGATTTTTGCGATATTTGGGAGGCCAAAATACGCAGAAATCACATACTGTATCTACAACTGATCTGATCTGCGCGTTTTGATTGGCATCCGCCCCAAAATGATCAACGGATTGCGAACCTGGATCATCCCATGTACGCGGAGATTGGTTCGTAGAAGGTTAGGGATCAAAGTATGGCAGAGGCTCAGCCCAGGACCCATCCCCAGACACTTTGCTAAACTAAGAAGAGAACTCAGATGTTGAGCACTTTCTAACTGGGACGATCATAGAATTGTGAAAGGTGTCTTGAATATGTTGTGCACAATGCTCCAGAAAATGGGAAGTCACTAAGCCGCCCTGTGACATCCCGTCCTATTCATCGTTGTACCCAGTTTCTACATAGCTTTCGCGTCATACAACCATATTCCACCACGGTTTGCCTTCAATATCCTGCATGTTGTGAACAACCACTGATTTCAACCGGTAAAATGGTATCATCCAAAATTCATTCTAAGGTGCGTTTTAAAAAATAACCAGTAAAAAAAGAACATCACAATCATCAATCCCATTTTGGGTTGACAAATCAAAGAAACACACAACCATTTCACAACCATATCACCGCTATCCCAAATCAAAACCATGAACATATATGATACCACACACCGGATAGGATCGTATATGATTGCACATGATTTCATTTTCAAAAAAATGTTGCTATCCCCATGAAAAAAAAAGGTACCATTGATCCACTTCCGGTCCTGGTGCGGCAGGCCCCAATGGACTGGTCATGGTGTTTCTTGGCTTTTGACAAGGTTAATAATGGTGATTATTTTGAGAAATATTAATAATGGTGATTAACCATTGTTAGAAATGTTGATTGTTAAATTTGTTAATAATGCTGATTAGTGGCTAATAAATGTT